ATTATATTATATATATATATATATATATATATATATAATATAATATATAATATAATATACTATATATATATATAAAGCAATTCAAGCGGCACCGAATTAGCACTCGGCAGATTTAAGTGGCAACTCGAATGGCGCCGATACGGCGCCCGACTGATTTCAAATTTGTTATTGCTCTATCTACTTATTTATTATATATATATATATATATATTATATATACATAAATAAAATATAAATATATTATATTATACATATACATATATGTATATAAATATATATTGAAATTTGAAACGAACTCTTTTGCATATAATAGAATTGAAGTGCCATTTGTTAAACTACCAACAACAACAAAAAAATATTTAAAAAAAAAAAATAAAAATAGTGTATATATATTTCATTCGTTCTTATAAGATTTAAAGTTCGCAATAAAATTTGTTTGTCGCATTACATTTTGTTCAATAAACATACCTGAATTTAATTCCCTGACCAAGGTTGACATCGCATTGGTAACACTGTCGGCAGCTACCAACAGATCGTTCCTTAATGATCGGCCCAAACTATTATTCGCACTGCTTGAACCGCTTCCTGGCAGGCTGTTTGTCCTGAACGCAGACCTGATATCGAAAATCTCTATTTTCTTTGCGCAAAGCCACTTTAAACAGCAACAAAAAATTTCAAACGTCTAACATAAGTTGCAAACATGCTGCATTTTTGTTTCATATGACTCATAATATTTTGTATCAAGCATTAATTAACCCTTTGTACTCGAGTGGCGCCGAATTAGCGCCAGGCAAATTTAAATGGCAACTCGAGCGGCGCTAATACGGAGCCTGGCAGATTTAAGTGGAAAGTCGAGAGGCGCTGATACGGCGCCCAGTGGCTAATTTCAAATCTTTTGCTACTCAATCTGCTTATTTACGATGTGTGATAAGATATTTCTTTTAAAGTTAATACTTAAAGGGTTGAAAAGGGACTGTAAGGTTTACTCTGATTATAATACATCTGAAAATAGGCTGGAAGTAACATATTATTGTAATTAGTGTCCTGATAAACACCTAGGATTCATTTTGGGTATTGTTTTACGAAATTTCATTTAAAAAACTAATTACAGATTATAATATTTCTACAAATTTGATTGTTTTTTTATCTAAAAATAAATAAATTGATGAAATTTGATTATTTGTATTGGGATCTCTAGCACTTGAATACGCTATCTGGTGGCTAAATTCAAAATTAGAGTAGATAGATCGAATTGCTACGTCACGTGAGATCTCTAGCACTTGAATACGCTATCTGGTGGCTAAATTCAAAATTAGAGTAGATANCATATACATAAATTGTTTTAGCATTACAATATAAAATAGAAATTTGAAAATTTCAGATTCAAGATGGATGCCAAAAATTCTAACAAATTTTGAAACCATTGATATTTAAATAGAATAAAATTATAAATAATTGACACATACATACACATACCCACATACATACATGTTTTAGCATTGCAATATAAAATAGAAATTTGAAAATTTCAGATTTAAGATGGATGCCAAAAATTCTAACAAATTTGAAAACCATTGATATTTAAATGTAACAAAATGATAAATAATTGACCCATAGAAACATATTCACCCATATACATAAATTGTTTTAGCATTACAATATAAAATAGAAATTTGAAAATTTCAGATTCAAGATGGATGCCGAAAATTCTAACAAATCTGAAAACCATTGATGTTTGAATGCAACAAAATGGTAAATAGTTTTAATATATTAATTATATAAAATAATAAATGTAATATATTAATAATTAATTAAATAAAGTTCCTGATTATATTTGTATGTTTGTGTAAATGTTATACATGTACACGTAATTGTACTCTGTATTTATATTACGAAATGTGCAGACGCTGAATTTCTACTTACATAATTGTTGAAAATCTTTCAATAAATAAACGATAAGCATTGTTGAACTGTTGTTAGATTGTCTAGTATGAGATTTATAGATGGAAAATACATATTTGTTAATTGTTCAGTAAGTAGACGCAATTTAATTGTAAGATAAATTAGTTCAGCAAATTTCAAAAAAAAAAAAAATAAAAAAATAAACAAGGGGGTTTAATAATATTTTATATACAGAGGAAAATGATCGTCACACATTTCTTTTGCAAATATGTTCTCTCGCATAAAACCATTTGTTTACTTTCCTTCGCATGACTAATCTCCGTCAGAGTATTTGTTGTTTTTTTTTATTTAACGATCAAAATTAATCAAATATTTTGCGAATAACTTTTAGTAAAAAATTGTCTTTTCTCTTCTTTTTTTTTTATTTTTTTATTTACATACGATAAGAAATATGTAATTTTAACGATCTAATATCTCGAAGTAGTATTGGATCATAAATTGTTCAATTAAGTTTTATAAACTAATAAATGTTAATTAATAAATAATTTTAAATCTAATTTTTCATTCGAATATAATTTTTTGTTTGTTTTTTTAACTCATTAACTGGCAGCTATAAAAGTAGTGGTGTGTGTGCTGCAATTTTAGATTATATTACAAACGTATTTATATTTGTAAGTTTTTTAAGGTTATGTGAGTCAAGAATTATTAAAAAAGGATGAATACAAAATTAATATGATGTAAAAAAACATTAATTAACAATTATTGTAAATGCAATTACAATATTTTATCTAAGTAACTTAATATATTATTATATGTTGTTAATAATTATATCTTGAAATCTAGAGCAAGAAGTTTTCAATATGTCTGCCAGTCACAGGGTTAAGAATTGATTTTTTAAATTCTTCGTTGTAGATGGAATTTAATTAATTGTTTTATTATTATTATTATTATTATTATTATTATTAAACAATTCATTTCAAACAATTCAACGTACATCGATCAATGCAATTTTAAAAAGAATTTTTATTATGATAACATAACCTAATAATTTATGATCCATTAACTTGAAGATAAATTTTGTCATCGATTAAGAAGCGAATGAATTCGTAGTGTGTAAAGTATGTGAACTTTGACCTTTTGTTTTTTCTATATTTATATATTTATATATATATATATATAACTATCTATATCTTGAAATATTATAGCGAAGCTTTTTAAACGTATTCTCGATTAAAAATCGATTCCCAAATATCTATGTATTTTTTGTATGTATAGATAATTATGTGAAATTTTAACTGGTATGAAGGTATAAAAAAATTACACAGTCCTTTTTAGTATGCATATATCGCAAAGCTTTCAAAAGATTCTTGTTTTCTTTTACGGATTTTATAAAAGATTTGTTCTTTTTCGTTTTTTTTTTTTTTTTTTTTTTTTTTA